TTCTTCTGTAGGGCCTTCAGAAAGAATGCAACCCTGTTGATACCTTGACTTTGGCCTAGTGAGACCCATTTCAGATTTCTGAACTCCAGAACTGTAAGATAATACATCTGTGTCATTTGAAGGCACTAAGTTGGTGGTAATTTGTTATGCAGAAATAGGAAACTAATACACTGATATTCATTGATTTTCAAATATTGATCCTATCTTGGATTCTTGAAATAAATTGAATTAGATAATGTTTGTCTTAACCTTTTTATTTATCACCAGATTTGGTAATTTATTGTTTATAAATTTTGCTTTTATGGTCATGGTGATGAATGGTTCATAATTTTTCTTTCTTATGACATCTTTTTGAGCCTTTGGCATCAAGAATATACTGGTGTCATAAAATCATATTAGAAGTCTTTCATCTTATTTTTCAACATTTGGGAAGAATTTAGATAAGATGAACGTTTTTTCCTTTTCAAATTTTAGGTAGAAAGTCTTGAGGAAGCTACCTGGGGCCTCAGATTTATTTTTTATTGGGGGATAATGTATTATGAATTTAATTTATTTGATAGATATATGGCGATGCAAATTAAGGTGTCTGCTAGACAGATTTTTTTGATGCCCTAAGAGGTTCTTGAGGAACAATGCCCTTATGATTCCTAGAAGCCTTCACATTTAACAGGGATGACCCATGACACACATTCACAATATCCTAAGACAGCCTAAGGATCTAGATGAAAGCTACTATGTGACACTGAATTTCTGAGATCTTGGCACAACACCTTTATAAATCTCATCTCTTTCTACTTGTGATGTGCACCTAAAAGAAAAACTGATGACACTTTTGACATTTTGTCAGGAAATCTCCTTGTTAGATCTAACAGTTCACTGGGTATGTTTTTATATCTTACCTTTCTTTAGGCAAAAGTGTTGCTAGTTTCTCCTAGCCTTTAATAACATCTTATTCCATTTTCTTTAAGCCCTCAACAAAAAGCTTTAGTCTTGTCAGGTGTTGGACAATTTCCTCCTCATGTCTTTACATCTTCTGTCTTCCCTTTGTCCAAAGCCAAAGCTACATGTTTTAGTTATTACAGCATCCCAATTTTGGCACCAAATTTCATTTTGATCATTTATTTCTGCATAAAAAAACCACTGCAAAATATCATGACACTCTACAAAACCTATTTTAATAGACCTACAGACATTGTGGGTGAAGAATCTGGGTAGGGCACTGAAAGAATGTCTTATCTCTTCTTGACTGTGTATTGGGAACACTTGGGACTATTGAAATGCCCGGAGGCAGAAATCATTTGGAGGATCCTTTAGTCGTATTTCTTGTACTCAGTCTCTGATGACATTAAGGTTGAGCTCAGCTGGGACTGTCGGCCAGAATGCCTACACATGGCCTTTCTTTGCTTGAACTCCCTCAGTATAATGGCCTCAAGGTAGTAACACAATGGAGATGGTTCATCTTCTTAGTCAGATACTTGGATTGGGTATACTTAGTTACTGAGCAATGAGCTCTCTTCCCAATGCATATAGAAGCCCGTTGCATATAATGGGCTCATTTTCTCAAAAGCACTAGCACTAGCTTTTGAGAAAAGGAGGAGCTTTTACAGTGAGTTGACTGGCAAGGAGACAGGAGGTAACACTCAAATTTGTCTCCCTGAGCTGTGGTCTTGGGACAGGTTTTATAGGCAGTGAATAACAATGAGACAGATAGGAAAATACAACAAGGTATGATCGGATTGGTTCCTGTCTCTTAAGTCTGTATTGCAACAAAACAAGGCAGCCTTCACTTAATAATTTGGTCCCCATTCCTCAAACCAAGTACTTAGATTCTGCTTGTGGTTGATTTTTTTGTTCCAGCTGGCTTTGGGGTTACCAGTAGGGTCCACTTGGTTCATCTGGGCTTGTTCATGTTATGTGACCTGCAACTTGAAGGTCATGACACTAAAAAATAACTCATCGTTTGGTTACATCTTGTTACCAACAAAGTGAACCAGACAGGACTAGTTCTGCTGTTATAATTTCTGTACTGCTAAATATTTAGTGTATGCTTTAACCAAAATTCTCTTACATACCTAGAGTATATTGGTTAAAAAGTATTGGTGCAATCCTTTTTTTTCTCCTCTAAACATGTTTCTGATGTTATTTTTGATCTGATGAGGTTCCTTATAAAATTGTTTTTCTCCAGTACACAAACAGGTTCAAGATCATATACTGCATTTAATTGCCTTGTCTCTTTTGTTTCCTTTATTCTGCAAAAAATTTTGTAGCTCTTTTTATGTTTTATGACATTGGTAAATTGAGGAATACATTTTCACCCCCCATTTTAAAATAAATAAAATATTCCTCATTTGTTGGGTGATTTCTCACAATTTGATTTAGGTTACGCATTCCTACCCAGAGCACTACATAAGGGGTATTGTGTAATAGCTGTGGAAACGATCTGTTCTTGAGGTTTTGGTATGAATTCTTACCACCCCAGAGTCTGTTTATTTTATCCAAGACTATAATCCGTTCTTTGGCAAGAGTGCTGAATAAATCAACAACAGTGCCAGGCAGAAACCAGCAGAATGATCAAGAAACTTGACTAAGTTTCTGAATAAATATTTCATAGTGTGCAAAGTAAACATCCAGCAAGTGTGATGGTCGAAGACTGACAAGGCAAGTGTTAGGGGAGACGGAGGTTAGCTGGAGGAAGAGTCTCTCTTCAGTGTATCAAGGTCAGTCTGGCACCCTGTTTGAATGGTAGTGCTACAAAGTGTCAGGAAGGAGACTTGCAAGTGTTGTCAATGCCCAGAAGGGTAAAGTGATGGTCAAAGACTGACAGGGTAAGTGTGACGGTAGAAAGAAGTAAGGGGGAGAAAGAAGGAGGCTCTCTTAAGTATTTTAAGGTGAGGCTGACATTGCATTTGAAAGGATATTTCTCCAAGGTGTTAGGGAGAAGATTCGCAGACTGTAATTATCTTCAGATTTCCATATAGAGAATTGTGGAAGCCTGCGAATGTTGCACAGTCTACAAATTTATTTAAATAAAACAAAGGCAACATGTTAGCAAAGCTTGAGATGGGGTAAAGGATGATCTGACTGATAGGTAGACCGAGTATGAGAAAGACATTCAGAGAGACAGAGAGACATTTAGAGAGAAAGAGGAAGAGCCGCAAATTCAGAAAAAGGAAAAGAATGCAACAAATAATGGAGGAAGAAACAGTGTGATAGTCCTCTGAAAGACAGAAGAAAAGTGAAGGGTTAATGATACAGGAGGGGATCAGGGAAGTGCTGGATAGAGAACAGCAGGGTCCCTGGCAAGGGCTCCACCCTTGGGGCTGTGCCCATTGACCTAAGTGAGAATAGGCACTTCTGGTTTCACCCCCAAATGTTTCATTTTCCAGGTCCACTCTGGCCCATCACATCCCTCATCTTGTGCCCATATCAGCCTGAGACCTTAATGGGCACAGACAAAAGCAATCGAATGTTGAGAGGAGCAGAGGAACAGACCAATAGACACCAGCACACACCAGTAGACCAGCAGAGCAGTGACAGTGGAACCACGACAGAGAAAGACAGAAGGGACATCTGAATGCTGAGGAGAATTATGGGGACAGGCAGAGAAGAGTCTGGCTGCTGGGTGGCCTGACTCCAGGGAAGACTACCTTCCCACTCCATCCTCCCCTTCAGCTCACCATCCATGTCCCTGGGAGCCACCTTCACCATTCATTGAAACCTTGCACTTATCCTTTGAGCTCATATGTGATCCAATTTTTCTGGTACACTGAGCGAGAGCTTGGGATACAGAAAATGGTCACACTGGCTTTCTGCTTGCCAGAGGCAGAGGGTCCATTGAGCTGGTTAACACAAGCCATCTGCAGATGGCAAAGCTGAAAAAGCACACTGTAACACATGCCCAGCTGAACTTCGAGAGTCACAGACACCCACCTCTAGATGCTGCCATGGGGCCAGATCCCAAAACAGCTCCCCATGGCCTGCGCCTGCCAGTCTGCATGTTCCTCCTAGGGGTTTGAGTGGCAGGGCAACTGAAGGAGCAAGGCATACCCCTGTCACATGTCCTGCAAAAGGGATCAGGGAACTCTCCAGTTTCACTAATAGTTGGAAATATTACTCTTCTGATTGTTTCACTTCATGAGAGAGTATTTTGTGGTTTGTTCGGGGATTTCCAGCTTGGGGCAGCCTTTCAACATTAGTGGGAGCAAGACAGGGCAATGATGGGAAATGGGTATATAGCAGTGAGTGGGATGAGTCAAGACTGGGGAAAGAATGACAAATAGGAGAAAGGTTGGATGTTCTTTTACTTAATTACAAAGAACCAGTGGTGGAGAGAATTTGTGTATAGGAGAGGTCTTTCCTGGTGGTAGAATAATGAATCAGGACTCACAGAACTCTGGAAAGAACATCCCTTGGTTTTCATCATAGGAAGTCCTTGTGAGGTTTGTTAGGATGACTGAATAATGACTATGCTTACTTGTGTGAGGAACTTGTACTTTCAGCTTTAGGTGCATGCTGTTTTTCCTGTGTAATAGTGTATTTCCAGATTTCTGGGACTGTACGAGTTTCCAGGCAATAAAACCTTCCTGTACCTAAATACTCTTTGAGTTTTATTTAGTTAATCCTGTTTATGGTTTCCCTACTTGCCTACCCTTTCACAGCCTGAGGTTCTACTTTCCAAGATGTTATCCACATCCTGCTTAGTCCTTATTTTTCATAGGGCCTGTGCTCCTTCCCCAATATTTTATGAAAAGCCATCCCTTTTAATCTTATGCTTATCATACATATGAATTTGTCTTGCTTCTTTCAGCCTGTCTGCTTTCCTTCCTTCTACTTCCTTTCTTTTTTCTTTTCCTCTAGTTAACTCTCATGTATCAAGAACTTATCAAGTGCTTGGCACTCCCCTAAGTATTGTGAAATAGTGTTAAGCAAAGGAATCTCTTTTTCTCTCTCTTTCAGAGCTTATTTACTGTGAGGGAGGCAGAAAACCGACAAGCAAAGAGCAAAGAAAGACCGGGCACGGTGCCTCAACGCCTGTAATCCCAACACTTTGGGAGGCTAAGGCAGGTGGATCACCTGAGGTTAGTAGTTCAAAACTAGCCTGACCAACATGGTGAAACCTCATCTCTACTAAAAATGCAAAATTAGCTGGTTGTGGTGGCACATGTCTGTAATCCCAGCTACTGGGGAGGCTGAGGCTGGAGAATCACTTGAACCTGGGAGGTGAAGGTTGTAGTGAGCTGAAATTGTGCCATTGCACTACAGCCTGAGTGACAAGAGTGAAACTCCATAAACAAAATGCAAAGAGCAAAGAAAGAAAGAGACAAGCAAATATCAGGCAATGATGGGTATTATGATATGAACAGAATCAAATCATGTAATGGTAACTTTAGGGATTACTTTAGTTTGGAAGCCATGGAAGCTTGCCTGAAAATGTATTTAATTTGAGATTGAATGGTAATAATGTATGACAGAAGTAACAGGTCATGCATAGAAGAAACGTGCTATGTCTACATAATCATGCTTGGGGCACACATTCAGATTTCTAATGCTAGACAGTCACTGCACTGCCCTGTGTATGCCTCAGCTACCTTGATGTGAGCACAGAATGAGATCTTACCTTTGGTCCTAACAGCAAATCCTATTTTACCTCCCAACATCCTGGGACTTCCTTTCACCTCAATTCTTTTTTTTTTTTTTTTTTTAATAAGCTCAGTATCTGAACCCATTGTTAATCTATACTTAGTTAATTCTTGTTTTGTTGAAACTCAGCTATATGTCCTTGCTGATCTCAGGCTAGGGCTGCTGCAGGTTCCTACAAATTCTCTGTGGTGTTTGGTGAGGAGTGAGGGGTCTGGTTTTGAACCAAGTCCCTGATGCTTCTTGAAGACCTCTCTTCAGGTTGGGGTTTCTGTGCTGCTTTCTCTAAGAGCCTATCTCCCTTTGTGATATGCTCTAAATTAGAGTGTGCAGTAATGACTAGGGGCAGGTTTGTGATCCTAGAGTAAATCTGGGGATTAATAATAGATATGAATTGTATGGAGGTATATTAAGTTATCACAGTTATAAGATGACCCAGTTGTGTGTTTTTCAAATTGTTTAATGTAGAAATTATAAGGAAAATGATAGTTCCACTTAATTTTGCTCTAATCATATATTGCGAATAAAATTAAAAGGTATTAGATTGGAAAACTTTAATTTTTATAAAAGATAATATGTTAATATTTCTTATATACTCAGAATCCTGAAAGGAACAAATACAGGAAATACAACAGATAAAAAGATTAGAACATGTAAATCATGGAAGAGGAAATTCAAGTTGTCAGTAAGCTCAAATTTACTGCACTCAGGGAAATGCAAGTTAACCTAACAAATATTGCTTCTGGCATAACAGACTGGCAAAATTCAACTGAGATAACCTTTACTATTGGCAGAAATGGTCATAAAAATATGCCCTGATATTTGTTTTTGTTATTTTAATTTTTAGAGCTCTTTGAGAAGGCTGTTGATGATACAGGTCAAATTAAGTATATTCGTATATTGTGATTCAAAAACCTCTGGACATTTACTGCATAGAGACTTTGTACATAAGGGTACATTGAAAAGAATATCAATGGCTTCTTCTGCTATTTGATAATAGCAAAAGAATACAAATGACCTGAATTCCTGTAAGCAGGTAATGCTAAATTATGATATAACAAAGCTATTGAAAGGAATAATACAGATATACAGGAATTGATTTAGAGTTCTAAGAAGTAGTGTTGAATGCACAAAGAAGAATGGTTTATAATTTAACACCATTTTGTACAGCTTTTTAAAAGGATGTTTTATAATTTAATGCCACTTTGCACAAAGAAGAAAGAATGTTTTATGATTTAAGGCCATTTTGTACAGCACTTTAAAATAATTTGTATACAAACACAAATATATGGTCATTTGCATTACATATATTTGCCTATTATAATAGGAACTTGGGAAAATTTATTTAACATTTGCCTTTTGGTAGGGACAACAGCAATGTATGGAATATTTGACATAAAGGAGTAGGACTAAATAACTACATATGAATTCATATATGCATAAAATCTTCAGGAATATATAATCGTCAAGTAAAAATGGTGGTTATCTCTGCATTTGTCCATCTAGAGACTTTTACTTTCTTACGTATATGACTATTTTAATTTTTACAAAAAATGCAAAAATAATCTTGTAATGGGAAAGGGCAGTAGTAAGTTTTGGAGATATGTAATCTAATAAATTTCACTTTTAAAATTATATATATACTGCTATGTAATATATGTATATATATGGAGAGAGATAAGGTTTGGTTATACACACAACACATGATTTTACATAGAATATATTGCATAATATTTGATGGATGTTACAAAGTAGAATAATTTATAGATATTAGAACAATCTCAGTTTAATTTTAATATAACATGCCCTATATATAATGCTGTTCATTTTAATGAAAAAAATCTAGTGTTAGATCTGAGTATATTTTATATACTCACATATGATACTTTATACTTGAATTTTAGATTCCTCTTAAAGTGATTTTATTAAGAACATACAATTTGAAGTATTATAATACTATCAAAATCCAATAACTTCAGAAAAATAAAGCCTTGAAACTATTGTAGGCCTCACGGGGCTCCCTTACACCCTGAGCCTTCATGTCCTCCACACATCAGACCACTGGTTGCAGACTGCCTGCTTCCCCGGCAACTGCAGACCAGCTTTCAGCTTGGGCAAACCAGCACACTTCTCCGCCACCCAGACGGCTGCTTCTCCAATGAGTTCTGAATACCAGCTTTAGGGAAGAGGCCCCTTTCCATGGTTGTTCTTCCTCGGATATTCTCCCTCAACCCTGGGATTTCATAGAACTTCTTTATATCTACTCATTTATCAAACTTGAGAAATTATTTATATCACATTTTTCCTGTTTAATCCAGTGTGTGGTTTTGATCTCTTGAGTGGACCCTAACTGATACATATGTTGAATCTTTTTTCCTTAGCAAGTCAGTCTTTGTCTTAAGTCTGTCTGGTGGGTCTCTGCCTCTGTGGAGGGACACAGCAGGCTCTCAGTGAGTAACTAGCTCCTAGAAGACCCTTCCATTTGTGTCAGTTTTGTTGGGAGGCCTTATGAGGGTAACTGTAGGGTTTATTCCCTACTGGGTATAATCAGATAGTACCTGTCTTTTAAGTCTTCCTTCCTTGTCTCTTTTAAATATTTCTCTTTCACTTTTCCTTCAGAATATGTGTTTTTTCTTAGCATCGTTTTATGCGAAACTCTTGCCATATTATGACAGCTCTGTGCCTCATGACAGATATGAGTTTACCCAGGACAAGGACACTGACTCGCCTTTCTGAGGTTAAAGAATTAACCTCTCGGGAATTTCCTCTGCCTTTCTTCATTCACATGATGGGGACCCCTTTAGCGTGTTTTGGCAAGTAGATTGGTTGCTGTTGTCAGATAGACTCTCCAATAAAAGGAGAAATAGATGTTCAGTGCTGTTCCAGATCGCAGAGATCCTTCCCATGAGGATATGACACAAAAAGGCATACTTTGTGTGAACAAGAATAACTTTAAGGCAAGGGAAATCTTTAAAATGTAGAGAATTCCCTATGATTCTGGGTGTTACAAATGTTCATCACCCCTCTTTGAGGCCTCGGTTGAGTCCAACACTTGGCTGTTCTGCAAATGTGGATTGTTTTCCTCCCTTGCTGTCTTTACTTAGCAGCTTGGGTCCATTATGACAAAGGACAAGTAGTTCGATGTAACTTGGTGCAGTGCTGGGCCCTAGTCGACAACTGCAGAGAGGTCTGGATGACCATATTCCACATGCACTCATCATTCCTTTCCTTTAGAGTGACCATTTTGTTTCCTTTGCATGATCCAAACATACCATGTTGACTCCTCAAGTCCTTAAGACTCTGCTCAAAGATCACCTATTCAGTAATGCCTTTTTTGGTCACCTTATCCAAAATTGCTCTCCACTTTCCATCTCTAAACTTACTCTCCTTTCTTGCTTCCTGCATTCTTTTTTTTATTGGGCCTTATCACCTCACACCTAATACATTGTGTTTTCTCTTTTACTTTTTAATGTATGAATTCCTGCAAAAGCACATGTGAAATAACATTTTTGTTTTGTTCGCTGCTAGTTTTCTAACATGTAGCATTGTGTCTGGCACATAATAATGCTCAATGAATGTTTTTGAATGAAAAAGTTGACTAGATGGATGCATGAATTAACAAATGTTAGTTTAGTATTCTGTATACTTACTTTTTGGTTTTGAATTTTTACACAGTAGTTGCTAAATGCAGTGAGGTCATATTTGGTTCTTTAGATCATTTAGTGTTGGACTCACTCTGCACCAGTGTCAGACAACCTAATTACATGTTCAGGAGGGAGGCCATGACTTGAAGAATGCACAGCCTGAGTTACACGGATGCATCAGGCTGCTCTACCTTGATTATTCCCGTTTGAGGAGACAGAGGGCTAAGCATTCTGTAAGTGTATAACTCCTAGAATCTATGAAAAGAGCACTGCAGATTTCAGGAAGGCTGGTTTCAGGGCATCTCTAACCTGGCAGAGGAGCTGGTAATTATGGAGACACTATACCCTACATGTACGAGGAAGCCCGAAAGAGAAGTTGCCTGGAGCATATTTAATATGAGAGACTCATATTGAAACCTGTTTAGTCAGAGCCAATGATCTGAACTCACAACCTTTCCAAAGGGCCCCTGGCTGTGCTGTTGATTCTCCAGCAGCTTTCCTGGAATTACCTAACCTGGATTCTGGTCGGCTGCTCCTGATTGGTGCTCCCTGCATATATATCGTCAGGATGTGGAATCCTGAAGTCAGCGCCTTGCCTTCTCCTAGGCTTTGAAGCATTTTGTCTGTGCTCCCTGATCTTCAGGTCATCACCATGAAGTTCTTAGCAGTCCTGGTACTCTTGGGTGTATCCACCTTTCTAGTCTCTGCTCGTAAGTAAAGATTCTTACCCGAACATAAGTTTTGTGGGAATATACATAAAATACGTGCTCTAAAGATGTGGGCTTATGATTGCCTAGAACACGCTTTTTGATGTCTCCTCTCCT